TTTCTCCCTTGTTTCAGCCGCCTACTTCTCCTACTTCTCCTCTCTCTCTCTCTCTCTCTCTCTCTCTCTCTCTCTCATATTCTCCCTCTTCAACCTACCAGTGACTTCCATCTTTTCCCTCTCTTTTTATCTTCTCCCTTTTTCACTCCTCCCTTTTGTTTTTCTTTTCTTCTTTTTCACTATAATGACACCAACACATAATTATTTTTTTAATAATTTCCTCCTCCTTCACTTAGATGAAAAAAAACATTCTTCTTTGTGTAATTTTCGGCCAAATTCTGGCGGTGTTCGCTTTCTGTCCACTTTGAGTATGGTATTGCATGACACCTTTTTGGATGAATTTTATGAGAAGATGAGAGATGGAGGAAATGAAATTGCCATCGTCGGAAAAAAACTTTTTTCCGGCCATGTTGACTGTCCTCCATTACTGTCAATGCTCCTTTATTTATATATCATGTAATTCGTGTCTAATAATTGTATAATATATGTTTAATAACTATGTATACATTATACACTGATGATACATTTATTATACACGTATTATACAAAATTGGACGTGAAAGATTACAATGGCTATGGTGAGTATTGACAATATTATATATAATGTGTATAATTATGTAAGCACATTTGTATGAAAGGTGTATTTATATTGATAGAATGCATGTACACTATTTATACACATTCAATGTTCATATAATTTTATATATAAAAGATATATATATATAGTGTATAATGTATATATGCAGTGCATATATAATTTATAATATGTATATAAAGGAATAATTAATATATTTTTTTATATAAAGTGTATAATCTTTATCTCACAAATACTCTCAGCGTTTCTTTCCTTTTCCCTTTTAAATCTTATTTCTTTAGGTTTAATAGTCTATTTATATAATATATAAAATCCGTATATACATCGCCTTTTGTATTTTTCTTCTTCTCATTCCTACTTTACTTTTTTTTTTTTTGTGATAATTGTTTTGTATAAATTATCATTCTTTTTATTTTCTTTCTCTTTTAGTCCTTAATTGTTCAGATTTGGAGGTGGAATTGAGGGTGGATGACCCTGGTCCAAGGGCGGGTGGGTCTGATTTTTGATGATCTGTCTTTTTTGGGGTATGGGTAGGATGATACAGTGACGATTGTGCGGTGGTAGCAGGGTTGATGGTGGAATTTTGGTATGATGACTAGTCCAGGGATGGGTATGTTTGATTTTTTATAATCTATTTTAGGGGTATGGCTAGGGCGATGTGATGGCAGCGGTACGGTGGAGGTCGCGATGGTGCGGCGGTGGTGACAGTGCTATAACGGCGGGGTAATGGTAGAGCTTTTTTGTGTAGTCTGACAAATGGTGAAAGAGGAAGGTGGATAGGATGGGGTCGGCAGAATTTGGGCTGACCATTCTAATATGTTTTAGGCTACTAAATGTATTTGAAATCTTATTTCTACCAAATGATATAAGTTTCCAGCGAAGTGCTACAAATGAATTTTCCTCAAATTTTTCCTAATATGAATTTGCTTGGACTTCTACTATTAAGCAAATTTCATCTTTTCAGATATGTTCTAATTATTCTTGAAGTTCGAAAAGATACCAATTCAACGCGGAGAATACATTGATCACTTTTATACTCTTCAATAATTTAATTAGTTAATAAGGCCCTTTATATTAACCATATCGAAATAGGAGTCCATATTCAAAAGAAGACTTTTAAGGTTGGACTAAATTACTATATAAAATATTGCTTCTTTGGCACTTAAAGTTACAAACAAATACGTATTAGACAAACATGAAATAAAGCATGAAAAGGCAAGATAAATAAGAAGTTGGATTAGGATGTTTAGGAGGTCAGACAAGACTTCGCGCTTTTGTGGATGAGTTCTATGTTCCTTGGTTCATGTCTATCTTTATGTTGCCAAGCTTGAATTATTATCTTGGCGTGGATTATTTGAATTCTTTTTATGGGTATAATATATTGCAATCAGTTAATACTGTCACGACCCAAAACCCCTCCAAAGATTGTAATGAAAACTAACCTCTAAGATTAGGTAAGCCAATCACACATTGATACAAAATATCGAAATGAGATATATGTAGACATATAAAATTTATTAAGTTTAATCCATATAAAATTTGGATTGAATCTTAGTTTTATTTGGGTTAAATAATTAATTTGGACTTTACATTAAATTAGTTCATTTTATTATTTTCAAGCCCAATGTCATTTCATCTTAAGGCCCAGACTCATGCCATGTGTCAAGCGACATGGTATATCCAGTCAAACTCAAAGCCAACGAGATGACGCCACGTGTGAAATGATGTGGCAATCCCAGTCTAAAACAATGACCAATCAAGAGTTGCCAAGTGTCTAAAATGATATGTCTTGGTACACCATTCTCAATGTACATCTCTCGCGTAGTTGTGATAATTTCTTGACCATGTATCTTGTTGTTAGGCCTCGAGCATGATAGTTGCTTCTCTTGTGCAAGTGTTGGTTGAAGGTCCCATATGTGAGAAGTCGTCGCTCTTGAGAAAACACTTCAATCACCATGGAAGCCGCAATTGATGAACTTCAAGACTATCAACAAATCAAGTGCAACAATTGGTGAAAGGGTCGCTTCGCATGACAATCTACTACAATAATTCTTTCTTTCTCGTAGAGATTTTGCATGCTCAAAACTTCAACATATCCGCATCTTGTATGATATCTTAGTCTGATATTCGGACCCTCTGAACTCCTTTGCGAGTCTGTAAAAGAAATAAATGAAGAGATAAGATTTGTGAAGCATGATAGCTAAAGTTACTACATGCAAGATTGTAGAGTCAATTTTAAGAAAATAACAACATTCGTAGGATAACTCAGAGAGCATAGGGATGGAAAGCGAGCTCAATGGATGACAAGATCATATTTAGAAAACTACCGTGGTCCATCTGTAAGACGTTCTGCCCCTAACATTTTATATGTTGTAGATTTGGATGTCTAGTGTCACACCCCGAACTCGGGGAACGCGACCGACGCTCAACCGAGTAAATCCGGTCAAGCAAGCCTGTTAGATACTTTCTACCCAAACTCACTTATGAATACAGAAAATACATATTTTCGTTAATTATACGATAAGGAGATCATATATACAATACCAATTCATTACCATTAGTTACTTCATTTTAAAGTCTCAAATTACAATACATTTTTCATGGTCTGAAGTGGAACAAGTAATTCAAACACAACATAACATTGTTTGACTTCTCCGGCACCAATATACAACCCACACTATATCTACGGAGCCTCTAATAGATACAGAAGAGTACTATGATAGTGCCGATAATAAAGCCTCAGCTATACCTCAAACACAATACACAAGGAACAAAAGATACATGACCCCGAAATGAAGTGGGGCTCACCAAGTCAGCTGGGAAGATGATGTACCGCTATCACTGATCAATGTCTCCTGCTGTAGAACCACATGCATCCATTGAAGATACAGCGCCCCTGGTAAAAGGGATGTTAGTACATATGAAATAGTATTAGTATGAATGACAAAATACCCTCTCAATAGAATGATAGATAATACAAGCAAGAACAATCATAATATCAGTGGAAGCCACAAACAACATCAAACCTCAAATTAGGATTAAGATAGTGTTCAAATTAATTTTCATATCTTAAGTTGGGAGATTTTTAGTACCAATATGCCACCATTCACAATACCAATATTCACAATGCCAATACTACCGTACTTTTAGCATGGAGTCCGATCACAACCCGATCGGCTAGGCCGTCTCATTCGAGACATCAACCACAATCATAATTTCTAGCACAATCACCATCATGTGTGCGGCATGGCGTCCGATCACGACCCGATCGGCTAGGCCGTCTCATTCGAGACATCATCCTTTTAAACCAATCATCTCGTTTCATACTTCTTTTGTATTCTTTTCATTTCATTGGCACTAGTGGCCACAATTATAAAATCATTCTTGGCACGTCAGATGTATTTAGTATTTCATGCTCGCCTTTTCCACTTTCAAATATCATCACCATCATCAATAATAAGGCATTTTAATTCAAGGTTTTTAGTACACATGTGAGCAATTAAGAGTTTTAGGCACATAGAAGTTTTTCACAAAATTTGGCATAATAGCCTTCGTTTAAACTTGGCTTGAAGTCGAAATATTTTTAATGCACAACCCATACTTTGAACACATTATCAAATGATAACATAACATGATAAATGCATTTGGGATACATATTAAAAATATATCTTTCAACACAAGCTTATTCGAAATAGTATAATGAACCACTCGGGACTTACACAAATTACATGAATACCGTGTGATTCAATTCTAAGAGAGGAGTTTAGCCAACATACCTTACTTCGAGCCTTTTAATTTACTACAATATTCCGAAAATCTTAGCTACTTCGATCTATTTAGAGATATAGCAAAATTGAACACAAATTAGGAAGGAGTTCATAGTTTCAGCTCACTTGAGCATTTTATCAAACACTAGGTGTGAAAATTACACTACAAGGTTCATCCACAAGATTTTCTTCACTCCACAATTAATTCAACACCAAAATCACCCAAGATTGTTCAACAACTTCCCCACAATCCCTACTAGCCCATGCATATGATAAATAACAATTCTCATATCCGAAAATCATACTCCCAAATTATCCATCTCATACCCAAACTCGAAATTGAAGACTAGAGTTTGAATCTTACCTCTTAGATGAAGATATTATGAATGACTTTCTTGGTTCTTGAAGATTGTGACAAGAATGAATGATTAGAATGTTAAGTTTCCTCTTTCTCTCTCTAAAATACTCTTACCTCTCTCTAAAATCATCAGATGGATGACCCAAAATAAGCCCCAAAGGCTATTTATCAAAATGGGGTCGGATAAAATTTCCAAAACTTAAACTTGCCAAAACTGGGTCTGCGATCGCAGAACGTACCACAGAACCATTATGCGGCCCGCATATCGGTCGCATAGTTGACGCTCCAAAATTGGGGTCGTCTGGTTGGGTCTGCGGTGATTATGCGACCTGCAGATCTATTCTGCGGTCGTATAATGCACCGCATAACTGGTCTGCGATCGCATAGTGTACCACAGACCTTCCTCCAATCTTTCCCCGCCTCTGATTCACTCTGCGACCATTATGCGGTCCGTAGAGTGATTCTGCGGCCGCATAATGGGCCGCATAAATGTCTTTTTCTGCTGAAAGTTTTCCTTTACTCCCGAGCGCATTGTTCAAACTTTTCGGCACTACGAAACCTTAATTTCCTTTGTGAAAATTTTACGGGACCTTACATCTAGTTTCCAAAAACACAAACCGTTTGCAATTTTGAGGCTCCTAGCTCAAGATACGATTTTTTTCGCCGGAACTACACAAATCTGAAAGTTTACTGCAGCTAGGTCGATTTTAAGAATTTTCTGTTTCCAGCTCGAAAGGAGGTCTGCCGTGAAATTCATATATGTTACAGCTCTATGAGTTTACTTTCTAACAGCATAAAGGGATTGCGATTTCTACACCTGTAGCTCGAGATATGTATTTCTCGATGAGAGTTCACAAAGCTGAAAAGCAGCAAGGCAAATATTAGGAGCGACTTCAAAATAATATTGCGGCCAACTAAAAGGAGTTCTGCCACGATATTTTCAGGTGCTGCAGATCTCGAACTTGTCTTTCTGATGGCATATGCGTCTCGCTATTTGGACATTCCTAGCTTAAAATATGTACTTTTTAATGACAACATGCAGTGCTGTGAAGTCGAAATGACAGACATGTGCACAACTTCAAGAGTTTATTCTAACTTATCCTGATGGAATTTGCTCCTAAATTTTGGATATGCCATTGTGGTGCAAGTTCTAATTATGTAGAATTAAGCGGATTGCAGTTTGGACACTTCTAGGTTGAGATACGACTTTTTTCAATGAGAGCATGGAGTGCTATGAAGTCGCAGCGGCATGTATTTGAGTTCTGATTCTTTAGAATGAAGCGACTTGTGATTTCATCGTTCCTACGCCAAAGAATGGATATATTTGCGGAGATGTGCCAAGTGCTTGCTCGTCAAGGTTGGAAAGGACTGCTCCAAGTAGTGTCAATTTCGCCAAGCCACAAGAATGAGTCGCGCCATATTCTCGCTTGCAAAGAAGAATATGGTCGCTCCAACTCCAAGCTTGTTCGAGCCAATCCGCAAGGATGATATGTGCCACATGCTCGCTCGTCAATGATGGAATACAGTCACCGCAAGCCTCTTTCTCACAATCTTCAAGGAGGGAATTCTTCATCTAGCCGTCTATGAAAAATTGCAAGAAGAAAGTGCTTCGTCTATTTCTTCACGAAAACTGGGACTTGGTATGCCATGTACATCTTTGGCCAACTATAAGAAGAGGATGCTCCATGAATTATTTGCTAGGTTGCAAGAAGTAGTCTACGCCAAGGCTCAATGGATGCGAAGTCTTCACACATCTCTTCGCCTGTAAAAAGAAAAACACAAAGATATTGTTGGACATGTTTCACTTTGGTGAGAGTGCGCAAAACTGAAGGAGCTTGCATGTCGAAACTCGTTGCCTAACTTCTAGAAGATATCTGGGAAGATATATGGTAAATCTGGTTTTTATCTTCATATATTTTGTATCTTTGGAAGTCTAGTTTCCGACGCCATAAATCTCTCATGATTTCGACGTTGCTACACCAAGATATGAGTCTTTTTGTGATGGCGCGCAAAGCTGTAAATTTGAGTACGGCAGCATCTAAAATGAAATTTCAAAATAATACCTGAGAAGCTACAGAAGGAATTTTGCCCCATATTTTTGATATGTTGAAGTATTTGAAGTGTAGTGTCAAGAGGATCATGTGTCTTGTGTTCCCGATGTTCCTACGATAAAATATGATGGTTTTCTCCACATATGCCTAAAGATGACTATCTCAAATAGATTCTGCAGCGAAAGGGAAAAGATTTTGGAGGCCTCGGTGCCAATGGAACGAAGCTTTTGGTTCTCTCTAATTATTTGTTGCCAATAACATGAAGCTTTGATTCAGCAGTAGGTACCGGTGTCAATGACATGAGGCTTCAACTCGTCACGATAGATAAATATACTCGCGACTCGAAGTTCAAATATGCGTGACAGGTAACGGCGCCAACGACACGAAGCTTCAAACTATGTCCAAATTCAATGCCAAAATAACAATCTTCATTGCTCAAAGTTTATGGATTTGAATTTCCTTTGCTAGTGGGGATTCGAAATTACTTTGCTGGCGTTTTCGATTCCTGAAAAAATGAAGAAAAATACAGTAAAGAGAGACAAAGAAGAGATGAATAAATAACAAAACTTGAAAAAAGAGAGTACTTAGTGGAGAAACAATTGCCTTGTGCTGGCAATTGTCTTGCCCGTGAAGAAACAGTAGTAGTTTCGAAGTTTCCTTTCAGTAGTCAAGGATTGCAAGGGCTTCCTTATATAATTGTTTAAGGTAGCTGATACTTTGAGTCTTGGACTTATAGACGGAATTAATTAAAGAATTAGCATTGGAAAAGGAGTTGGACTTTACATATGTAGCTATGAACATGTAGCTGCTATTTGGCCAACACTACTTTTTGGTATCATATTCAAATTAGGATATACGCGATAATGTTTTCCCAGCAGATAATAGCTAACCCCCCGGAGTTTGAAATCTTGGCTAAAGTCATGTGCTTTTATAAAAAATTAGAACTTATCCAAGTAGTCAAATTCTTCATGCGGTTCAAAAAATGTGATTCTCTTTATCCGGTACTTCAAGCCTCGTCGCTAAGGCTCATCAAGTTTACACTTCGACAAGACTTGAAGTAGGGGGCATCCATAAACATATAAAATTTATTATGTTTAATCCATACAAAATTTGTATTGAATCTTAGTTTTATTTGGGTTAAATAATTAATTTGGACTTTACATTAAATTAGTCCATTTTATTATTTTCAAGCCCAAGGTCTATTTCATCTAAAGGCTCAAAATCATGCCATGTGTCAAGTGACATGGCATATCCAGTCAAACTCAAAGCCAACAAGATCACGCCACGTGTAAAATGATATGGCAATCCCAGTCTAAAACAATGACCAATCAAGAGTTGCCAAGTATAAAAAATGACATGTCTTGGCCAGTCACAAGCAAGCTTCTTACATAACTTATGTGATAAGTTTGATGACTCACATGAGCCAATCAGAATCAAGCAAGAGAGTTCATATGTAGATGGACTGTCCATCCTCTACCATTATAAGTAGAGGGGTTACATAACTCTCTAAGGACATTCATAGTTGGAGAAGAGCATTCCGCAATTGGTGAGGCATCCGCAAACAGAGAGATCAATCATCAAATGCAAAGTTCTTCAACAAAGGAGTAATCAACGGAGTTCTTCCCGGGAATCAACCCGAAACAACGAAGTGCTACTCGAATCACGGAGAATTTGAGAGAGGAGAATCAAAGGATACATAGAATTATACTCATAAATATTCATCAATAAAATCTCTTTTTCTTCATATCATTTTTGTTGCAGTTTATTTTCCGTACTACGTTGCGAACAATCTAATAACTCTAAATTAACATAAACTGCGGAATATTGTCTCGATAAAGCCAAAACATATATACATAAGTCAAACTCTCCAAAACCAAGTGATAATGAGTCATGAGCTTTAAACAAAATACATAACGGGTCTCAATAAGTACAATACTATTTGAAATTAAATACAACAATATAAAAATAAGAGAAGGTGACTCCAAGGGTCTGCGGCGTCGATGCAACACTACCTTGAATTCTCTCGGTCCGGCACAAGCTCACTCACGAGTTCGCTACCTCCAGCACACGGATCTACACAAAAATATGCTAAAATATAATATGAGTACACCACAATCAGTATCCAGTAAGTAGTAAGACTAACCTTGGTGAAGTAGTGACGAGGTTCAAGTCATGTGATACTCACTAGTCAAAGAACTTGTGCAATATATATATATATAAAATTGGAAACAAGAATATGTATAATGGAGTACAATACCAACAATCTCATTAAAGCATGTGATAGCAACTCACCAGACGAAAATCTATTTTTTACAAATAAGTCATCAAATAGAAACAAAGGCATATGTCACCTTCGTACTCTACATTTTGTCATAATAACAACATCCACCTTTATCACTCCTTACCCTGACACAATAATAATATCCACCCTTAACGCTCCATACAATAACAATTTCCGCCCTTATCATTCCATACAATAATAATATCCACACTTATTGCTCCATGTAATAACAATATCCATCCTTATCGCTCCATACAATAACAATATCCTTCACAATCGCACGGCGAAATCTCGTGCCAACGCCCAGTCAATCCGTCCAACATATCCACATGTGCCATTATCATAACAATGATATGCCAAATTATCATTAAAAGGTATATGCTCACAATTTGACAATAAGGTGCACAAGTACATGATAATAATAAAATGCGGATAAGTGTTCAACATATAAGACATGACTATGGCTAAATTAATCATAGCAATCAAGTTCCTGTAGCCTCAAAGTGATTAGGCATATTTTATATAAAGCATATTAGAAGCCTAAGGTCTAATCCGGCCGTAAACTACACATAGAACCCTTGTAGACGCTCGTCACCTTGTGTACACATCACTTTTTATATAACACAATTAGGCAAATGAAGCCAAATCCTAAGGGGTATTCCATCACATAAGGTTAGGCAAGATACTTTCCATAATAATCGCAAATCAATCCTAAAAAATAGCCTTTCCTTTAAAAATCACCTTCGTCCAACTCAAATCTAGCAAAAAATAACTCAATAACATCAAACAATGCTAAAGAAATCAATTCCAAACTATAAAGTCCCAAAGTCCCAATCTTTACCAAATTCTCAAAAAGTCAACAAAAGCCAACCCAGGGTCCACACGGTCAAAATTTGAGTCAAGGGGTAGATCCCGACTCCCCTTAACCTCACGAGTCCAAATATATGATTAGATTCCAAAATTGAGTCCAAATCGACTCTCAAATACTCAATTTTTATTTTTCAAAACATAATCACCCCCCCCCCCCC